TCTCTGATCACAAACAGTTCCTTAATATAATTAGCACTTCTTGTGTGTATTGCCTGAATGCCTCATCAATTCTAAGTCACTTTTGGTAAAAGTGTCTGCTAAATGTAAATGTATTTCTATTACTTCATCATCTTTATTTTTCTGTCCTTAGGGATGTTTTCTTACACCATGTTGTCCACAAGCCCTCTCTTCTGCTACCCTGATTGGCCCAGACGTTTTTTCGGCCATTTTCCAGAGTTCCTTCAACCTATACTGCCCTTCATCTCCCTGGCCCCGATTCCCAGCTCCTCCTGCGTTTACCCAAATCCATCCAGCAGCTCTGGAGGACAAGAGGAGGCCCATGCTGAGCCCAAACCCACCACACCATACTTTAAACACAAACTTAGAGCCTTCTTTGTTATCTTGTACATCCTGGAGCAGTTCTTCTTGCCGTACTCGCACTTCATCACACAGGTGAATGCAAACCACACTGTGTTTGATCTAGAACATTCACTCGATCAGTGGATACAGCACTTTCACAATCAGAGTAAACACAGATAGTGAACAACAGCAAACATCTGCCCAAACCTTTGGAAGAAGAATCAAAGGCTTTGATGGGAAGAGACTGACTCATGTTGAATAATTGTAGACAGGCAAACTAATGCAAACATCACTTTTTCTTTTGCTCATACTTGAGTAGAAATTTGAACTTGCTATAGACCTAATACATTAAATTGAGTCTTATTAGGGTCAATTATTGTTGCTTTTATATAAGCAGATACATAAACACTCATAATATTGATGAAAAAATGCAATTAACCAAGTCATTATTTCAGTTTTTGTCCAACAAAAAAATGGCTGTTAAGTACGTAATTTAAATTAATTTAATACAGTTTCTTAGACACTTTTTTAAAATAAAAAGATAATATTTTTTCTAGAGAAAGTCTTAATTGTTTTATTTCGGCTAGAATAAAAGCATTTTTTTTATTTAATTATTAGCCCCGTAGGTCAATATAATTAGCCCCTTTAAACTATATATTTTTCGATGGTTTACAGAACAAACCATCGTTATACAATAACTTGCCTAATTACCCTAACCTGCCTAGTTAAGCTAATTAGCCTAGTTAAGCCTTTAAATGTCATTTTAGACCGTATAGAAGTGTCTTAAAAAATATCTATTCAAAGATTATTTACTGTTATTATGGCAGAGATAACATAAATTAGTTATTAGAGATAATTTATTAAAACTTTTATGTTTAGAATGTGTTGAAAAAATCTCTCCATTAAACAGAAATTGGAGGAAAAATAAACGGAGGCAAATAGTTCAGGGGGAGCAATAATTCTGAATTCAACTATATATATATATATATACAGTTGAAGTCAGAATTATTAGCCCCCCTTTGAATTTTTGTTGCTTTTTTAAATATTTCCCATATTATATTTAACAGAGCAAGGACATTTTCACAGTATGTCTGATAATGTTTTTTCTCCTGGAGAAACTCTTATTTGTTTTATTTCGGCTAAAATAAAAGCAGTTATTATTTTTTTAAACACCATTTTAAGGACAAAATTATTAGCCCCTTTAAGCTAACTTTTTTTTTGATAGTCTACAGAACAAACCATCGTTATACAATAACTTGCCTAATAACCCTAACCTGCCTAGTTAACCTAATTAACCTAGTTAAGCCTTTAAAAGTCACTTTAAACTGTATAAAAGAGTCTTCAAAAATATCTAGTAAAATATTATTTACTGTCATCATGGCAAAGATAAAACAAATCAGTTATTAGAGATGAGTTTTAAAACTATTATGTTTAGAAATGTGTTGAAGAAATCTACTCTCTGTTGAACAGAAATAGGGGGAAAAATAAACTGGGGTTCTAATAATTTAGGGGGGCTAATAATTCTGACTTCAACTGTGTATATATATATATATATATATATATATATATATATATATATATATATATATATATATATATATATATATATATATATATATATGTATGTATGTATTTTTTTTTAATTAACTTATTGCATACTAATGTTGTTAATAATCTAAATACTACTTTATTAATAATAATATATTAGTAACTTTAATTTTAAATATGTGAATTTCGATTATTTAACTTTAATTATTCAATTTATTTAAAATATCAACAAGTTAAATACTATTAATAATAATATTCACAAATAAATAAATTCTTTAAATATAAATAAATTATTTATAATTTATAAAATAAACTATTATTAAATGGAAAAATAACTTAATATAAATTAACTTTATTAAAAACTTACTAAATAACTTTAAATAGTATTTTTTATTTAATTAGTAATAATGTATTTTAAATTAAGTTTACTTAGATACTAATATTATTAACATATATTAAGTACTTTAAAATATTTAACATTAATAAAATATGTTAGATTAAATTAAATAAAAATGACTACCTTTTTAATTATCATTTGATATTAATAATTTATCTTAATTTATCTTTTTTTTCTGTGAATTAAAACAATTATAATAATATTAAAAAAATGTTTCTGTTGTTGCCTCTACAGGGTTATAACAACTGGACAAATGGATTGTATGGCTACTCGTGGGACATGATGGTTCACTCCCGCTCTCATCAGCATGTCAAGATCACCTACAGAGATGGAGTAACAGGGGAGGTCGGATATTTGAACCCAGGAGTGAGTTACTTGATAAACAAGAATCACTTTTAAATAGGAAGGTTCCAGGTTGAATATGCTTTAGTTATGTTAATGGAGACCGTTCTCACCAAAAATGACAAATGAGAAAAATTTCCCATTTATTTACACTCAAACAGTTCTAAACTTTATGAATTGATTTTTCTGTTAAACACAAAACATGATATTGTGAAGAATGTTGAAAACCAGTAGCCATTGACATCCATAGTAGGACAAAATACTTTGGAAACCAATGGCTATTGGTTTTCAGTATTCTTCCATATATATTCTTTTGGGTTCAACAGAAAAAAGGAACCTGGGTTTGGACAAGTAAAGGATGAGTAAATATTGACAGAATGTTCATTTTTGGGTGAACTATCTCTTTAATGATGGTTTTGACTTGTAAATCAGTTTTTTCATTAACATGCAGTGGAATATTAGAGAGAAAAAATTACTTTAGTTAGTGAACATATAATCCACGACTTTCTATTAGGGGTGTCAAAATAAATTTTTGCTTCGGTGCACCACAATGTAGACGCGGACATTTCGCTATCGGTTCAGTAATAATCATAACCAGTTATTATGTACTGACGTCATTTATCTCATATGCGCTCTGTTGCGAGGGAGGCGAACGTGAGTATTTACAACACTCCAGGCGCCAATTACTATAAAACACAGAAACTGTGCACAATTTCACTGCGTGTGTGGGTTCTCACTTACAGCAGAAGCCCCTATTTCTCTGCGATTGAGGGAATGAAAGTGAACTACATTTCTTTCTTTTTCTCTCTCTCTCTTTCTCTCATTGTGTTACATCGATACTTCTGGATATAGGTCTACATTCCCGCCTGTACCTATGCATTGTCGCGGGACCTAATTAGATTTCATGCGGCGCGGGAATACATTTCCAAAAAAAAGCACATGAGCGGTCAGTAACTCTGGTGTAATTTGAACAGGAGTGGGCGGTCTCACAATATCACTTCCGAGCGATCAAGCAAGCGCACGTGCGTACATGTGTGCATGCGTTCGTGCGCGTGTGTGTATGTTTGTTTGGTGCTGTCTATGTTTGTGTATGTGTGTGAATGAGAGACAGCATGATGCTGTGTGTGTTTATACAAACAGCCCCCCCTCCCAAATATAACACTGTGTATGGAAAGTATCGTCAATGCACCGTGATGCACAGAGATAGCGAATTAAACCGAATCGATGGTATATTAATCGTAACTGAACTGTGAGACTAGTATAGGTTCACACCTCTACTTTCTAAAGAGATTTCTATTGAGCTAAACTTGTTATTAATCCACAATATTCCTTATTTTAACATTTAAACCAATTAAACTCCTAGATTTTCGTGCTTTTATATGCTTATGTTCTTATGCAATTTCAATATGCTGCAGGTTTTCACTCAGAGCCGGAGATGGAAAGATCACGGAGACATGTTGAAGCAGTACGCTACCTGCCTCAGTGAAAATCTGCCACGCTTCAACATCTCAGATCCAGAGATCTACTTTGACATTTGGGTGTCCATCAATGACCGCTTCCAGCAGAGGTTATTAAAGTGTATTACGTGTTAAATTTACTCTGATTCATGCAAATGGCAACCCAATCTTCTGACATCAAATGTAAAAAAAAGAAATGTCTCCAACATTGCTCTCATCCTGTCCTGTAGGATATTTGACCCACATGTTGACATTGTTAAGGCTGATTGGTCACCATTCAGACCTAATCCATGGCTTATGCCACTGCTAGTTGATCTTTCGCCATGGAGAACTAAATTTGAGGAGATTGAAGGGTCTTTAGACAACCAGACTGAGGTGGTGTTCATCGCTGACTTTCCAGGTTTGAGTCTTTCTGCTTTCGTTTTTCTGGAATAAGCTGACCACACAGATACCCACTTATTACTGGTGTTGTGACGTCTACAGGTCTGTTTCTGGAAAACTTTGTGAGTGAAGATCTTGGGAACACGAGCGTTCAGGTCCTGGCCGGTGAAGTGAATGTTGAAATAGTGGATGAGAAAAAGAACTACAGTTTACAACCTGGAGAAAAGATGCAGGTACAAATCTCTGATCCTAAATTATGATACCAATTCTATGCTTTTTTTATATTTCAGAATACCCGCAGGGTCTTAAAAGCATTGAAAAAGTCTCAAATTTGATCATCTCAAATTAAGGCCTTAATAGCCTTGAATTTGGTATACAAAGTTTAGTATTTCATTTCAAAGGTCTTATTTTATTTATTTATTTTTGCCTTTCCTAGGATTGAGTTCATCCCATAACAACATTAACTGTTACTAATGTAGGCTAATTAAAAATTCATGAAGCGTAACCTTGAGTGCACCCCTCGTTCCACGTCATAGCGGAAAGTGCGAAAGCGTGCACACCCGTTACTATGGTTACTAGGCAAGTGAGGTACAGAACAAGATAGTCATAAGCCTAGTTTGTCAGTTAAAATGGGAAAGTGTCACAGTGGCCAAGGAATCTGACTCACGTTTGGGTCAAGCTTGTGCCAGCGGGGCCTACTGCTGTTGGTGCCTGAAATCTTTTAAGCTTGCATTGATGGGTGTTACGGCCCTGGATTGCCATCTGAAGGGTACCAAACACACCACATGTAGTACAGGTCGCCAGTGCCAACCACCTATTGTGCAGTTCTGTGCACCGGAAACTTCTTCGGTTACTAAAACAGCTTTGGCTATCAGTAATGAAGAAATTTCTACATTAGAAGCATTGCCACCACAGCCAGGAAACATCCTATCTTTCTGTGTCTCGACACCAACTCTGCGAGAGGACAAGTGAAGTTTGTTTATAAACTAATTTCGAGAGGATCACGTGCTTATGATTTATCACGGCCTAGTTTCGCCTAGCCGGTGGACGTTTCTGTGAGGAGTTTGTATGTTCTCCCCGTGTTCACCGTCTAAAGATATACATCATGCTTAAGAACCAAGCACGCTTTAGCCCCCTTCTCAGGTGTTCCCTTAGCTATCGCAGTCGGGGAGTTCTGAGATCCACCGAGCTCAGGCTCCCCTCTAGCTCTGCGAACGGGGGGCTCGAGGATCCCTTGAGCTCGGGGCTCTCTCCCGGGACAGCATGCCAAACAAGCTTTGATAGATCATCAGCTAAGTTAAGTGTGAACTCTTGAAATGGGTCCTTAAAACAAGTGAAGTTTGTTTATAAACTAATTTCGAGAGGATCATGTGCTTATGATTTATCACGGCCGGTCTCGTATTAGCTAATCATTATCTTCCAATCATATGAGCCCTAAGCTACTATAAAGAACCACAGTTTTCAGTCCACATTATCTTCGTTTGGAAGAAACCCCCCCTTCCTCCCCTATTCTCCTCCTTGACCTTGATCGGGCGGCACGGTGGCCCAGTGGTTAGCACTGAGAGCCTCACAGCAAGAACACCACCGGCCTAGTTTCGCCTAGCCGGTGGACGTTTCTGTGAGGAGTTTGTATGTTCTCCCCTTGTTCGCGTGGGTTTTCCTTGGGCTCTCCGGTTTCTTCCCACCGTCTAAAGATATACATCATGCTTAAGAACCAAGCACGCTTTAGTCCCCTTCTCAGGTGTTCCCTTAGCTATCGCAGTTGGGGAGTTCTGAGATCCACGGAGCTCAGGCTCCCCTCTAGCTCTGCGAACGGGGGGGAGCCCCGGGCTCGAGGATCCCTTGAGCTCGGGGCTCTCTCCCGGGACAGCATGCCAAACAAGCTTTGATAGATCATCAGCTAAGTGTGAACTCTTGAAATGGGTCCTTAAAACAATCTCTGAGCACCACTCTTACACATCGAATGAGAACATTACAGAGGTTTGCAAAACGATCTTTCCTGACTCCTAGGTTGCAGCTGCATTCTCGCGTGGAAGCAACAAAAGTGCATATATTACTAAATTCAGATTGGCTTCTTTTTATAACTGAAGAACTGACTGACCTGGTCAATAAGGCCAACGGGTTTGTGGTCGTGTTTGAAGAGGGTCTCAATAAGATAATGAAAAATAAGCAGTTGCACCTTCTTATTCGCTACTGGGTGGACAACCACATCCAGTCACTTCCAGGCTCGCAGTCATGTAACAGCGGTGGACCTGCTCAAACATTTTAAAGTAAATTTTTATTCAGAATTTTAAAAATATAGATTTTTTTTTTTTTACAATTATGAATATTATATGATATATTTAAGTAACATAACATGACCAAGTGAGCTGTTCTTTAATATCACGATTGCAAATGTTACATTGAATGTATAGTGTAATAAACAAGTAGCCTAGTTAACATGTAGTCACTTAACAGGGCTGTGCATAGACATTTTGAGGGGCAGTGGCCCAAACCAAAAAAAGGTGCACTAAGTGGGTGAGTTCTTCATTCATTCATTCATTTTCTTTTCTGGGGTCACCACAGCGGAATGAACCGTCACCTTATCCAGCATATGTTTTTACGCAGTGGATGCCCTTCCAGCTGCAACCCGTCTCTGGGAAACTTCCATACACACTCATACACTACGGACAATTTAGCCTATTCACCTATACCACATGTCGTTGGACTGTGGGGGAAACCGGAGCACCCGGATGAAACCCACGCAAACGCAGGGAGAACATGCAAACTCTACACAGAAATGTCAACTGACCCAGCCGAGGCTCAAACCAGGGACCTTCTTGCTATAAGGCGACAGCACTACCTACTGCACCACTGCGTCGCCCTTGGATGGGTTCTTGATAATACAAATTTTTCAATTGTTATAAAAATACAATTAAAAGAGAAAACAGTACACTCTGTAATAATTTCAGAACTATTTACTTTTTTACATTTTTATATTTACCTGTACCTTTAAAAACAAAACAAAAATGATGATTTCCATGCTGGCTTGCTGGAGCTTTAAATCCACGTTTTCAGTGTTGAACTATCTTTAGCAGCCTCCTTTCAATCTTTCTCTCTGTCTTCTTTTTTGTAAAGACACTTTTTTTTTGTCACAAAGTGTGCCAACAACAAAGTTGTTATTCATATTAGATTTGATTTTGATTAGATATTCAATTTCTAAGAACATGGATATTTAGCACAAGTTGTCATTACTTTTAGAAGACCACTGACTGCAATGTGGATTGTAATGGGACTATCTACCTTGTAATGCAACGATCGTTAAGAACCGATGTCTCTACTTCCAGAGAGTGGGCACACAGATTGTGTGAGTGACGCTGTGGACTACAGAGTGGGCGGTAAAACATGGAGCGGATTAACGGAATTAGTAGATTTTTAGCAGAGCGGTAACTGAACAGCCAGGGGCATAGATATATACACTAGATGTCGCCTGGCCTATTGTTGTCTATTGGACGGAATGCGTCAATAGCGCCGCCATCTTGCTACAGGGTAGCGCTCCTTTGAAATGAATGTGGGACCAAGGTACAGTGGAGGACTGTGGCCATCCAAAGCCAGAGATATACACATATATCTATGATCGGGAGTTTTCCTAGATGTTAGTATGTAATTTTTTTTTCTAATTACAAAAATTATAATTTTACATCACTTTTCTACATTGATGGATCAGTGACTGCACGGGCATTCCTCCCTATTCACCCTCCCTGTTAAATTTGATCTAATCATGTCCTGAAACACAGCTCCTCTCCTGCTTTCACTTCTCATACTGACGGAGGGAGCGATTCGTTTGGAAATGAATCCCCCGAATGACTCTTTCACTAACGTTAGCCGACAATAATACAAGTTTCTGACAGCGCAGAATCTCGTTGTCATATTTCTTTTGCATTGTTTGCTGATTTTATTCAACAAAACTAGCATAAGCCGAGTGTTTAGTGCTAGTTGGAGCTGCTTTGCTGTATGGTGAATGCAGTAAGTGACTGTTATCATCAATAATGTTACCTGATTAGCACAAAAGTTCAAACATACAAAAACAGAAAAAAACTTAATATTACCTATGAAATGTTCTGCCTTTGTGCTTTGTTTTCTTTGTTTGCTCGTTACTACACCCGTAAACGGCGCTAAATTCCCGCATCTTCACGTAATAACACTGTCTTGACTAGTGCGGATGAATGACATTTGTCCTGGGAGCACTGTACCAATACCTATTGACGTATGCTTAGGGTCCCTATGCGATATCTAGTGTATAGATCTATGAGCCAGGGGCAGGGGAACGGACACGTTAGAGGGGGAGGGAGGGGTACAGGCTGAGAGGGACACCTCAGCCAATGAGGGCAGAGGGTCAGTGGCTCTAGCCTTCGGGCCACCCCCCTTTGCACGGCCCTGTCACCTACAATGTAGACTCAATATCATTTTGTTTAATTTCACAGATGAAACAAAAGCAACACTAAAGTGCTGTGTTTTGTTATTAAATGACTCTGCATTTTGAAGAGTTGTTTTAATGAATGACTCAATGATTAATTTTTTAGGACAGTCACTTGCTGCTATTGGTTTATTGCCATCATTGATTCTTTTATATTATTTGTACAAACATCCATCTCATAATTTCCTTTTTATTTGATTGATAACGGACCTTATTATTAAAACTGAATTTGATCAAATGTAAGAATTTGACAGGAAAGAGAACGCATATATAGTAAGGTTTAAACATTGTCCTTATAAAAGTAAATAAAGTCCTAGTGTAAAAATCACAATTATGTAGATTTAAGTATGTATAAGCTGATCAGAATATTGCTTCAAAATAAATTATTTATTTATGACAGACATTATTTAAAAAACAAGGCTATAGTGTTCAATACCAAGTTCAAATTCATTTGTTTATTACAAATCAAATGTGTGTTACACTGTTGCATATGTATTAAATATAACTAATAATTTAAATAAAATGTTTTATTTATTGCAAGTAGCCCACTTGTACATAATTATTTTCTATGGTTCAAAATTAATACAGATTCGACATTTTCTCTTCATACTTCTGTCGGAATGGAAATGAAATTGGCATTGAATTTCATTTGAAATGGTATTAAAAAGGCCTTAAAAAGCCTTGAATTTCATTTGTAGGATCCTGGGGGTACCCAGATATTTACATTCTTACCCTTAGAAGCAAAGTGGAGTTAAAACTTCAAGAACATCCCCACAATTTCCTAAATTTCAAGGTTACTATTGTGCCCTGTTTAACGTTATCGTAAAAGGAGTAAAGGAGCAGTTTTTGTAAGCATATTTTATGAGTTACATGTACCCTGAAGCACAGTATAAATAAACTAAATTATATAATTAAAAAGAGCACAAATCTAAATTTGAGTTAATCTGGTACCTGATGGTAATTTCCTAAATTATCAGACAAACTCTACTGGAGGCCTCCTAGAGCCATTCTAAACTGACCCATCCAGCCTTTTAGCAAGTCAAGCAGGCTCATCTAAAGGATTTCTAGAATGTGACTTCAAGAATATATTGTATCTTTACAGTGTTACTGACTCATTCAGGTCCTCCTAAAAAAAGCTGGTTGTTGATGAAAGACAAAAGAGGACATGATAATGTGGATAATCTTTGTTTAATAATTTAATAACTGCAACTGTAATTGATCATTAGTTTAGCACTAAACAAGTTAAGCATGTGTCCGTGAAAGATAGAAGACGTCTTTCATGTGCGGTTCCATCCCTGCAGTCATTGCCCAAATGGACAGAATTTTTCCTGCAGGACAATGAAACTTGAAACTCCTTGAAACTGAAAATGGTTAAAATAACGAAATGGCCAAACCAGAGTCCTGATCTGAACATGACTGAAAATCTCTGAAAAATTCTTGGCCACAAAGTTAAAGCTAAGGAAAAAAATAGTCATGAAGAGCAAGGTTCTGTACACTTACTTAATTGTAACTTTTAGACAATTCATTTAGGCCCTGTCCATGTGAACATGGGTATTTACCAAGCCACATTTTTTTCTTTGTATCGCTGTTTGTCCATTAGAAAACAAAATATTGGGTGACTAAAACCGAAACTTTCTGAAAACTTTGGCCAGGGTGAATATTTTCCGAAACTCTGGGTACAGTGTGGTGGTGACTTTTCACCTGATGACATCAACATGTGCATTCTTTTGCTCCCTACTGATTGGCAAACACAGATGGTTTTAACAACAAACGCAGAAAATGTGAATGAGGCAAATTCCGTACGTTCGTGGCAAACACTGCTTCTACACCTTTCGCACAGTGGGACAGTAATCAGTCTCTGTTCTAACGTTTGCATTGACATTGACTTGTAATTTACTTGCAAAATACCTAATTGGTATACCTAACTGCCTGTTGGTTAATTGTGCCCTAAACATGCATTGCAGTGCTTTTTTTGCGTTTTCACATGGACAGTTTTTTTTTTTAAACAAAAGTGAGGAAAACACTGCTTTAGAAAGCAATGTTTGCAGCACAGTTTTTGTTGCAGTACATTGGCTACTTCAAAAAAAAAAAAACATTGTTCCTCAAGCATGATATAGCAATGAAGATTACATTTATTATTGTAAAAAAACTATTTGCATTTATGCATTGTTTTCTCCTTTTGGTCACCACTGTATTAAACTGATGTGCTGAATTTTGCTTGTGTGTGTTTAGATTCCAGCTGGTGAATACCATAAAGTGTACACGGTGTCTCAAGGACCATCGTGTTACATGTACATCTATGTGAACACCACTGAGGCGGAGCTTCAAAAGAACTTCACCAAGCTTTCTGAACTTCAGGAGAAAGTGCGCAATGGAACAGGTCAGTCACCTCTCGATAAAGTGATTTAAAAAATCACTTTATCTATTAAGAATTTTTTTCAAATTATTGAAATCTAGTTGAAATCAAGCGGCATCCTCCCACTCTTCCTCGTGAAGCAAATACGGAAGTTACTGAAACTGGTATTCATCGAAATTCCATAAGGCCTGGCTCCATAACAGAGCAGATTTCTATTGACCCCACTGTTAAAATGGCCAATCGTCTGTAGCTCAGCTCTTGCTTAGCCTCTTTGCCCTTGTGTGGTATGCCCCGGTCAGTGCAATGACGTGTAAACTAAATGGCGACTACTGGTAGCTTCTTTTGCCGCAGATACTACGTACCATTTTCCTCCGGTTTATTTGTATGTTTTTTTAAATCTAAGGTATATTAATGGGGCTAAAAAATATCTGTTGGTGTTTACAGAAACAGAGCCTTTGCCTCCTGAGCTGCAGCCACTCATCACTGGACTCGACGACCAGGACTCAGAAAACACTGTGATCGACCCAGTAGTGCGGATCTTCTTGAAAAGACAAAAACGTATGCAGGAGGTCAGGAAGAGACGAGAAGCTTCTATGCTTGAACGCTTCCAGAGATTTGCCTCAAAGAAATACTACTCCATTAGACGAGGGTATGTTTATGACCCCTTGAGAATGAGATCTAATGGGGTAATCCTTTAAATAAATTAAAAATGGTGTTATTTTGGTCCATCAGGTTTTTGATGACAGCCATTGCTTTGCGGAATTTGGCAGTTGGTTTGCCACCGATTGAGCAACTGACCAAAGAAGTGGCCTACGCCAACCTGAAGGAGCCAGAGACTGAGATGAGTCAGGATGAGCATCTGAAAGACGAGGGGGGGCACGGAGAGCTGTGATAAAACACATTGTTACTGAGCTGCTGGTGGTCCTGCAGCAAACCAACAAATGCTTAAGTAGGTCAGTATTTTTGGAGCATTCCATGATTTTGAGAAAAAATCAGTTTGTTGTTTACAAATAATTCCCTTTTCTTAAGCTAACAAACAAAAAAAAAGACCAAAAATATAAATCTAACATCATTTACACCCATGTTGTTCAAAGATTTTTAAAGAAATCTTAAATTTTGTCCTGTTCTTATCATGTTCCTGTCAAGTGGCTCCAAAAGGCATGGAATATACTATAGTGCAGTGTTTCTCAACCACATTCCTGGAGGACCACCAGCACTGCATGTTTTTGGATGTCTTCCTTTGGTGGTTGAGAAACACTGCTATAGTGCACAACATGGGGAAAAAAAAATCCTGAAGTGTTTTTTTTTTTTCAAGCTTGACTGTGTCTGTCTTTATTTTACTTCCAAAAGAGCAGCAGGAACATATTTTTAAAACTCTCCTTAGGCATCTGATTGATGTCATACAACATGACGGCCAGTAGATTATGAGAGAATTTATATTTTAAATGTAGTAATTTTGGATGAAACTTAGTAACTATGGAATTTTGTTTCTGCCATGAAATAACAATATAAAAAGGTAATTATGATTTAATCTTAGTCAAAGTTTAAAGGGATAGTTCACCCAAATAGAAAACTCACTATTTGCTCACCCTCAAGTGGTTATAAACCTTAATGACTTTCTTCTGTTGAACACAAAAAAACGAGACATTGTGAAGAAAGTTGAAAACCTGTAACATTGACATTCATAATAGGAAAAAAAAAATGTCAAGGAAGTCAATGGTTACAGGTTTTCAGCTTTTTTCCAAAGTAACTTTGTGTTCAATGGAAAAAAAATCTCAAACCGGTTTGAAACAAGTAAAGGGAGTGTAAATAAAGAGAGAATTTAGATTTTTGACTCTAACAATCCCTTTAACTTTTTGTTTTTAATACGGTTTAAATCGAATATTTTCAACTTTTCTTCTTCTTTGAATTTAAATCAAAGAACTTAGTTTTTCCCCCTAAATTGAGTTCTTATAAGTGAGATATAATCTCTGGATTGTAAAAGTGTGAATTAAAAGCTAAATTCTGTCAATTACCTTTTCATATTTTCATTTTGTGTCTGTAGTAGTTTACCTTTTTCGCTTCGGTTACTGAAATAATGTAATATTTGAGAGCAGAAAAACACTAATCTTTAAACACTAATCATTTGCTCTTTTCAAGCATTAGATAAAAAAATACTTTCATTTGAACCATACTTTTTTTCTTCAAACAAAAAAAAAAAAGAGCTTTTATTTTACAATTCACCCAATTGTGCTTAAGGGATCCTGCCTCTGTATTGTCCCGTCACAGGATTTATGCATTGAGTAAATCAAATGCACTTTTTCCCCACAAACAACTTTTAATTGGACAAAATATTGGCTTTAAAATGTGCCAAACATGGGCAGGTACCAAATTGTCTTTAATGCATAAGTTTCATTATGCTACATGCTGTTATTAAATGCAACATCAACTCAACCTTCTCACGGCTTTTATACAGTACAGTATGCACACTGTGATTGTGAGATTGGAAATGCAGGAAAGTTGTTGTTGTTGTTTTTTCTTTGTCTCAGTGTCAATTTTTTTAAATGAATAAAGTGCAGAAGCAGAGTATTTACCAAATGAATAAATGTTGTGTTTTATTGCTTTCAGTTTCAAAACGATATTCAGTCACGGCTGATCTTCTCATTCCCGTTAAAGTGCATGAGACAATTCAAAGTGTCAACATTAATACACGTATAATGTAATGGCACATCATTCACACACAAAATGAAGATAAACAATTAAATACTTTAGAGCTGCTTGAAATGGTACATACAGGTCTTGTTTCAGATTACAGACTGGGGTATGATATTTAAAACACAGGTGTTGCGTATATTAAACGGCATTGCAGCAGTGTAACAGTTTTAAAACTAGTGTTTACGTGTGCTCTTACTACACAGTGAAGGTCCTAAAAATATTAGGCTAAAATTAGTTCGGAAAAAAATGCATTTTTATAGAAGATGATGCACTGAAATCATTTACAGGCTATCAGTGGAGAATGGAAACTTGATTTAATCCATTAAAAAATGAAGATAATATCCTCCATTACTCATGCAACCTGTAAAGTTTTCATCTTCTAAACATAAATGAAGATTAACCTGTTTAAGCCCATGGGCAACTATAGTTGCCAAAGTTAATAGTTGCCATTTTCCTTTTATCATATTCTTCATGGTATCAATGTTTACTTTCTCAATGACATGCCAGCAAACAACCAAACCTTTAATATTACTAAAAAACTTTTTTTTTTTTTGTTCACAAATATATCAACATAATCACAAGGGTCTCTATATTAATCCAAACAAAACAAATCTTTCAGTAAATCTATCGTTTTTTTCTATACTTTCAAGTTCATGTGGCAACTATAGTTGCTGGTGGGCAAATATCTTATAAGTACGTATATCATTTGGAAATTAGGGAATATTCTGTTAAGTTAATAAATAAATGTTATTTGTCTTGTTTAATGCTATTTTTTCTTTCATAATCTAAATATTTTAGACCTAGTCTAAAATAACTTAACCCTTTAACTGATCTCTTTACTTTTTAGACTGTAGACTTTTTTGATCCATAATTTGATACACAGCAAAATCCTCAGAGAAAAATTAATCTCCACTGGTCCCACAAGAGAGTTAAAGTAACACTGGAGCAGATTTAAAGTGCTGCAACAACTCCACAAACAGCATCAGCAGCTTCACTTATGACTGACTTGTTTTACAATTTCTGTCAGAGATTTACCAAAAATACTCGTTTTATTAGACATCGCATTGTGGAGAGCAGAATTTACTTTACTTGGACTCTTTAAGTCATGATTTATGTTATTTTTACTTTTTTTTTGACTGCTGTAATTATACATTGGGGGTTCATATCAAATTGTTTTATAGTTTTAAACATTATAAATGTGTTTTGGTATATGAATTAATCTGTTGAAAGCTGTTGTTTTGAGTTAAAATAAGCAAATGTTCTCCTCCTATGCAAATTTTACATTGAAGGGTTCTTACAACATTTGCCCACTGGCAACTATAGTTGCTGCATATTCAAATATGATTTTCTAGGAAAAACAAAAAATTAAAACCTGTAGGAAATAAATGCAAAACATGTTAATATAGATCACTATTAACAAGGCTACATGCATGAAACCATGTAGAAAAAAATGGGCACAAATGGGTTAAATAAGCAAACAAAAAAAATCTTTCCCTCTCCTGAAAATCAAATGTTTCCCAAACATTGAAAATCGAAATGGATGGGACTCCAGTGGGTTTATATAATTTATGAATCAATGATTAGGCTTTGTCTTTGCTAAAAGTCCACAAATAAGTATTCATTGACTAAATATCTTCACTCCCTCATAGATATCTGATACATTTCTGTGTGAAATTATGAAACCAAGTTTTTTTCCATGAAATAAAACATGTAAGTTTTCATTTTTGTTCTATTTTGTCTCACAATCTCAACTATTACAAGCACTAATTTCTATTTAAAATGTGACTTGTCAATCAAATTATTTAGTTTAAGTTTTTTTTTTACAAGTTTACATCTCACAGTTGACTTTTCCTTTTAAGTTTGAGTCAATATCTTGTGATCTGCATGTTTATGTCTCACAATTTGACTTAATGGGTGACGCGGTGGCGCAGCAGGTTGTGCTGTCGCCTTACAGCAAGAAGGTTGCTGGGTCAGTTGGCATTTCTGTGTGGAGTTTGCATGTTCTCCCCGTGTTCGCATGGGTTTCCTCTGGGAGCTTCGGTGTCCCCCACAAGTCCAAAGACATGTGCTATAAGTGAATTGGGTAAGATAAACGGTCCGTAGCGTGTGAATGAGAGTGTATGGGTGTTCTTCAGTGATGGGTTGCAGCTGGAAGTGCATCTGCTGCATAAAAACATATGGGACTAAGCCGAAAAGAAAATGAATGAATGAATTTGACTATCACAATTAAGAGTTTTTCTCTATTTTAACATCTCATTACTGTTTTATATCACATAATTATGACATTTAAATCAACATTTCGAGTTTACATATAAAAGTTTGCATCGCACAGATTTGGATTTTGAGACAAAGTAACCCAATGTTCTTTAATATTGATATAATTAATTGATATTCATATATTATATTACAGGGCTCGAAATTAACCTTTTTGCTTGGTAGCACCGGTGCTCCTAACTTTAAAAATTTAGGCGCATCAGCCAAAATTTAGTCGCACCCACCGTTACTACAAGTTTTATACAAACATATTGGTTGTATTTGAAATCAACACTAATCAAACTAACAAGCAAAAAAAAATCATATATAACGTTATATGCAAGCTTGAGGAAAATATGTCTCAACAAAATCCCGTCATCACAAGAAAATAGATTTTTATAACATAACTGAGTGACCAAAGCATACACGGAGCGCTCACCGTCCCTGCACGCACTGCTTGAATTAACGTGTTAACGGTATAACTAGTAAGATGTGTCATTATTTGAAACTGTAGATGCCATGGTTTCTAAAACAAAATCTGTCAAGTGTTATGTTATCCTCATATTCAGCGCTTTACAGTTTTTCGCGGTAGTAGCTCTCTGTCATCCGAAGCCAGAAGGCGCTGAGTGATTGACAGCTGATATTAACCAATCATTCGCGTTCAGTGCTAGAGCAGTGGTGGGCCAATAAGAAGTGCGCGAAGGCGGGCCAAGCATTAGGGACTTAGATTTGTTTACTGCAAGTTGACATGACAACTGTTTTAAACCATTCCCGAGCGCTGCGTTTCGCGTTTCAAGTGCAGACAAAGAGCTTAGAGATGCATTCTGCGTGAATGTCTCCCGAATCCGCGCATGTGTGTCCAAAATGGTCGCAATTTCGAGCCCTGTATTATATTATATTATATTATATTATATTATATTAAGACCCAAATCAAAATGAATCTGCTGTACACCTTGCTATGCTTCAGTGTTGTGTTTACACACTCATAATACAACTAGACCCAGAAGTGCTGCACTGTGTACAATGTCATTATCCTCTATCAAATGTGCATCAGACATTGGAAGTCAAGTTATTTGTTCAGTGAATGCTCAAAGTATTTAGACTGATTCAAAAAGCTGTAGTTACACCACTGGAGTCAAACAGATTATTTTCATGCTTTTTTTCTGGACTGTCAAAATCAGAATTTAAATGTTAGGACAGGAGATTCATTCAAACATTTTCATACATGTTAAGATGATCAAACGTCTCATTGGGTTGGAATGGCATGAGAATCAATAGACTATATTTTGATTGAAGTAATGTTTAAAGTTACTTTTAACGTTTTATCTTCACAGTTTTAAGAAGTAGCATGATACAAGACATGCACACCGGATTTACACTGGTTCGGTTCATCCATTACTTCCCTTTTGCTGTTTATAAGCAAAGGCTGGTAGTTGATAATGAAAACCTCAACAACGAATAAAGAAAATAACGTTTATGCAATAATTCAATAACATAATGAAAATGTTCAAGGCTCTTCCAACACTTATAGTTTAGCTAATCTGCAGAAATGCAGTCAGAGGAGATCAGATATTCATCTGACCTCAATATATGACACAGGAGAGAAGTGCAAACATATGCGGAGGTACTTCTGCTATATTAAATGAGACCTTGATTTGATAAGTGATTTGAATGCGCACAACTAATTTTGGATTTAACAAAGCAAAATCTCAAGGAGTGTTGATACCAAACTACACTCTTAAGGCTGCATTGAGTGAGTCTGTTAAACTGGTGCTGTGAGAGTTAGTGTTGAATCCCTTTTTTAATCCGTGATGTTGTTTGTAGTGCTGAGATCTACCTCGGCTGGAAATCTGGGTAAAATATTCCACGTATCACACCTTCGATTACCATATTGGAAAATGTATCTGTAAATTTAAAAAAGTAAAACATTCATTAAATGTATTTTAAGAAGAAGGAAAAAAAACATAGGCTTTGTTAATAATAGACGTGTTTGCATGATGTATTTTGGTGAAATACTATTATAATTAAAGCCTATGCTACATAGTGGCAACTGAATGGTAATTTGACTGCTTGAAGTTTACAGGTCAGTTCAGTTCAGATGTAATAACCTGTGATTCAGAGAGTGAATGAGTCATCTGAGACTTACAGTGACACGTCTGACTGATTCTAAACAATACTTCCTGTGTTCAAGTCTCATTCACAAATCATTTACTAATTTCAAACGTGAATTCCATACAAGTGTGATACAGCTTTATATTTTATAATATGTTAACTATTGATTTATATTTACATTGTATTTTAATGCATTTATAAATTAACATTAAGTAACATGACATTGGGCATTACATAAATTAACAATAATTTAAGTTAATCTATTGGAGAAATGTCATTGATGTATACATTACAATAACTCATAAAACATTATTGTAAAATATGACTGATATTTTATTGTAGGGGTCATATTGTCAAAATACTTCACAGACAATTTATTAGCTTTCTTTAAATGACAGTTTTTTGGGGAGGGATCAAAATCGGCGACGTAGCGCAGTACTGCAAGTGCAATGATGACGCGTCGATTTCTCATTATTATTCATAGCAGAGTTTTCTTATCCTATGAGAAGAGCCGGCTGCTTAATTATTCATGAGAGCACGTGCATTCCGAAGGCAGACCTGCCAGTTTCAAACAAGCTGTGAGACACAGACCAACGGAACGCAGTAGCCGTTCATAAAGGCTCGTATGTGTTTGTTTCCATGATCCACGGGGTTTGTTGCATGTTTTATTCCCTCGATCTTGTCAGGGCCGATCATACAGCAAAGCTGTCTGTGTGCTGCAAGCATTTTTGTCGGGAGAGCAGCACGAGAATTAAAGAATGGTGGACGCTGTCTTTTTACAAACTCCTGATAAAAGACAGCGTGCGCCATTCTCTAATTCTCGTGCTGCTCTCCGTACAAAAATGCTAGCAGCACACACACAGCTTTGCTGTATGATCGGCCCTGACAAGATCGCGGGGGAAAACATGCAACAAACCCCGTGGATCATGGAAACAAACGCATATGAGCCTTTATGAACGGCTAAATACTGTGTGCCGTGGGTCCATGTCTCACAGCTTGGGCTTGACTCTGGCAGGTCTCATGAATAATTAAGCAGCCAGCTCTTCTCATAGGATAAGGAAACTCCGCTATGAATAATAATGAGAAACCGACGCGTCATCATTGCACTTGCAGTTCTGCGCTACGTCGCCGATTTTGATCCCAATCATTTTAAACCCGGAAGCTGAAATTAGCTGACAAAAGCTCAAAATTATCCAGTTTTCCCCACAATTAAAGCTGACAGGTGCTAACATTGTCTTAACTGATGCTCAACACACACAAATCTGTTAATATAAAAAAAAAGTTCTCCAGGGTGTCCTGAACCTTTAAGGAACTACATAAAAACTGTCATATAAAAAAAGAACACCATAATAAATTATCTGTGAAGTATTTTGAGCTGAAATGTCACAGACATGCACTCTGAGACAAATGTATTACATGTATATTATATTACTTGGATAATATGACCCCTTCAGTAAAATATCAGTCACAATTTACAGTAAGATTTCATGAGATATATTTATTTACATGAACTAACTATATACAATAGTTGTATAGCATTTATTAATCACAGTTTAACATTTACTAATGCATTAATAACATGAGTTAACAAACTAACAATGAACAACTGTATTTTCATTACTTTAAGTTTACTAACAAGAACAAATGCTGTAATAAATGTATTGTTTATTATTTTTTTATATAAGTAAATGCATTATCTAATACAACCTTATTGTAAATTGTTGCCAAAATATCTTTATTATTCATCTGTCATTTCAAAATATCAGTGAAGCAAACATAAATGCCTAGACTTTTCGATAACACTTTAGTTTAGGTCGCAATTCATGCTATTAATGCTATAGCATGCAATTAATGCTATTATGATCTTATTCTGCATGCCTAATCTTACCCAAAACCCAACTTCTACCATACTAACTATTAATAAAGAGCTAACTAATAGTTTATTTAGCCAGTAATGTTAGTTAATGGTTTGTTAATACAGTGAATTGTGAGCTAAAAGAACGTGTAAATGACTTTTCTTCAGATCTTTTTAATTTTTTAAGAGAAGAAAGGAAAAACAAAAAGTGTACCATTTGAGGCAGGAAGCAGATATGGATCCCTCTGGTAGAGAAGTGCTGGTTGATGTGTCAGTTTACTGTAGGATTCAGAGAGGAAAGGTCAGAACGAAATAACAGAATGAGTCACAAACTAGTCCAGTTTCTGATGACAGTGTTAAAAACACAGACTGTGAAATTCATCACGTGGGTGGTGCCACTTCCCAGCCAGCACAATAACTTCTCAAAAACATTTTTATAAGAGCACTTTATTGACCTTATTCTCCGCAGATGAGCGGGCGCTGCCATTTGAATCTTTTTGGCACGAGACTTCCAGTCTCATTCACTTCCATTCATTTTTAGACATTAAAAACTGCTCGTTTCGTTGTTTGATGTTGCAAACTGATATTTCCTTGTTGTATTATTCTACTTGGTCTGTATAGTCATGCAAACATTTGTTTGTAGAGCAAGTAGTTTGACCGTTTTTTGCCGTTTATTATTCCTTGTCATTTCTCCCATAGGCGACTGAAACGGAAGTTCTAAGACAATCGCGAAAACAGGCGCACTTCCGCATTTGAGAATAAGGTCAATACACTCTGTAGTTGTTGTTTTTTTGTTCATTTTTCTGAGCAGATAAAGAGCAAACATACCTTGATTCATCCGATTCTGTTTCAAATGATCTAAACAGGAAGAAAAACAATTACTTCAATCTTTTCCTTTTATAAGTCTGCTTTCTAAGGCCTATACTTCAGACAATTACACTCTATAAAGCCTTACCCACAACTTTCAGTTTTTGGCAGAGATGGGAAATGGCGGATATTGAGGAAATCCAGGAATATCTTTGGAAGAACCTCATTTTCCATGATTATAGTCTAGGCACACAAATCAAATGCTTATTCCAGAACACATTAAAAAGCCTGTGATTTAATTCATTCTGTATATAAATCAATACCTGAAGGTAGAGTTCGAGTCCCTGTCTCCTCTGCTCAAGAACCTTGGGAACCCAGTTCCTCACATGTTTTGAAGGGATTTCTGGAGGTTTTATTATCTTTTTAAGCTATAAAAGTGGAAAAGAAAAAAATATTGTCATAAACTGGCCAGACGGTGTCCCAAGAGTTTACGTAAAAGGCAAGAATGTGCTTTCAAATGGAATTTCTAGACTTTGCCAAAGCTACAAACTGCTTAAATGTTCCCTTTATATGACAATCAAAGCCAAAAATCCTCTTTTCACAGTATAAACAATCATGTGTCTTGATGTTCTGTATCTGCAGCATGCAATAGTCAACATTATTATTTCTGAACACATACTTTCAATAAAAAGTACAAACTAACACAAGTGAGCTGGTGATAGAGAAATTATGCTGAAAACTTGTTTGCAGATTTTTCCCAAGGAACTACTTGAGAAACGCTGTTTTTTTCATCAAATACATGCTGTTGCTCACATTCCAAAATTCCTCTGTGAAATATGCACAGTAATAATATATATTAGCACTTCACTGGAATGACCCGGAGTCTCACTGGGTCAACACATCTGGTTTTGTGAATTACCAATGAACCAACATTTTCTCAGTATATAATTTGTCATCATCAACACTAATGTGAATAAAATCAATTATTACATCCATTATTATTACATTAATTTAGATTAAATACATCTTAAAATGGAAACAGAAGAAGCCAAAGAAAAAAAACATTTTTGTATTGTTTCGTACACTGTTAATAAAACTATGTTGATTGTTCTGCTGTCTTTCAGAAGAAACAGCTTTCCATTTAATTTTGATTGGAACAAAAATAAATACTGGTCTGAATTTAGATTGTAGTTTTAGCCCTGGAGAACTTAATGATTTCATTACATATATTGTATAACATTATTCCTCTATCGGACTTAAATATACATTGAAGGATTTGTTCTTCATTGTTTGGACTTGAGCAGTGAAAATTAAACCACACTGAATTGAACTAAACTGAACTCAAACTTTGAAAACTGGACTGACACGGTTTCAGTTGCAATTAACTTGAACTTCTGTTTAGCTGCTCTGACACAATCTACATTGTAAGAGCCCAACAAAAATAAAGATGAATTGAAATCAACAAAAAAATATTGCAGAGGATCCCCAAATCTAGGTGTGAAAAACTAGATGGGTCTTTTCCAAAAGACTCACGGCTGTATTAGATCAAAAGGTGCTTCAACTAAATACTGAGCAAAGGGTCTGAATATTTAGGATCTGATATTTCAGGTTTTCTTTTTTAATAAATCTGCAAAAATGTCAACAATTCTGAACAATTTTTCTGTCAATATGGGGTGATGTGTGTACATTAATGGGGGGAAAACCCCATTAAAAATGATTTGACCAAATAATTGCAATACACCAAAGAGTGAAAAAAAAATAAGGGAATCTAAATATTTTATGTACCAACTCTATATATATTAATGTATTTATACAAGCAGTGGTTTTACAGCCCTAAATAAAGAACTTTCTTTGCGAATTTGGCTGACTTTTTCTACTTTGGCTCAATTGCAGTATGGTGTTTTTTGACCCGTTATTTTTCACATGCGTCCAATTTTACTTACTCCAGATGTTTTCTGGGATGATAGTCTAGTTAGTTGTTCTATCATTAAACATACAAAATGCATATCTACTTTAGAGCAAAAACTAATCATGTTAGTACTGTTTATTGTTTGTTCATGTTTGTAAATACAAGGAACTAATACATCCTTATTGTTACCATACGTTTTTCATAATCTTTGCATTAAAAAGTGACTTTTTATAATATCTACAAAGAAAATCTTGTGAGCATGAATGCAAAAACAAAGTGCTTTTTAAAACTTCATTATACTAATACCTTTTGAAATAATACTGCTCATTTTTTCAGAGACATTTTTTTTATTGTCTCGTAACCAAAAGGGCATCAGTTGATGAACAGCTCGGACAACCATTATACAATTCTTGTAGCCACTTGGCTATTTTAAATTTTACATAAAACAATACATAAGTAGTCATTCATAATATCATAAACAGTGATTTATTTTGTGTCATGGTTGTGTTAAGTAGTATATCGGCTGACCACTGCATGTAACGCACTCATGATTAAAAGACCTCAATTACTGATTTATTTATTTATTTTAAAAGCACCTTTAATGTTAATATTTGTATATTTTAATCTTAAACTTGATCTGAACTTTACATCTCCAGAATGAGCTGAATGACCCAGAGGATTTGACTTACTCATCACTGCTTCCTCAACAATTTAGTATAGCATCTCGCCATCAAACTCACCATTCGTTATTCAAAACTTTTTTCTCTCTTTATTTGGAATATTATATTTTATAACTGTTTCTTAACAAACATGCATTATACAAAATATACAGATAACAATAAATCATTCAAGTTCTTTCAAATTAATAAATGATGAATATTGTAAAACTCTCCAGGAGGCACCTTTTCAAATATTTCCTTTAAAATATGTCCTGAATAAAAACTCCCCGTGTTATATTACTACATTATATTAATGAAAACATCCCCGGATTTGTCATTAACCGTGTATAGAAATTATATAGTTTTATTCTTAGTTTATTTTTTATATATATTTTTTCCAATTGATTAGTGGACAAATATTTATGTATAAATTATTTTGAATGACATGTAAAGCACTTTGTGTTAACTGCTTCAAATGGACTCCATTAATAAAAGCTGAAAGCATTATATTGTTGTGTTGTACAAGCATATTAAAGAATAAAGTATATTTTTGTGAGTGCAGAAGTCATGGCAAACTTCTGAGACTGCAACAGCAAACGATTAGTTTACACAACGAACATTCACAGTTTATTCTAATTACTCGATTACATTATGTCTTACACCTTATTACATAAAGTACTGAAGTATATATAGTATTATTCGAAGTTTCGCGCATGCTTACCATTTTATGAAGCGCGTGAAATTCACTGTATCGTTTCTCAACAGTATGCTGTCTGCCACACATGAGCACCTCGATCTTAAAAACCTGCGGGGACAAATGCATGATTTATTGTAAACACAACCGCACAGTCTGCCTCACTAAGCTTGCAGATACCAGGATGAATGGACTTCAAATGTTTTAATTCAAAACCCCAAACATCGTGTTTGTGCATCATAGGCGGGGCTGAATGACAGAACCCCGTTTAAACGCGCCCAAACACGCTCTAAGTAGTGAGCTCACTAGGTTTTGAGACACCGCCAATAAAAAGTCTACGCCTCGACGTTAATTATTATCCGCTAAGGTGAAATGTAATGTTTGTTATGGTAAATTTCAATAAACGCGTACGCGTTTACTCCTGCTGGGTGTTGAAAACAGATCTTAAACTCACCGTGTATCCCTTCTCCACGGTACTGCCCTCCGACCGAAAAGACGGGATTGACACTTCTATGTGATGCATGATACGGCGAGATGTGGCGGTTGTTTCGCAGCAAAGCGATAAAATAACTGTAGGAGATGTTTGCTTGGTCCTTCGGTGTATTTCTTCTGGTTGTCAAGTTGACTGGCCGCCTGACATGAGCAGGAATGAAGATATTCAGGCGCTTCTTCTCCATCGGCAGCAGGAGGTTCAGCTGTGGGTTTGAGGATGTAACGCTGCCATCTAGCGCTCTGACAGAGACAAATTCAGGCCTCAAACACTAATACTACCACCAGCGGTTATTTATCTGTAGCTGGGTATTTGATCTATAAATATGTTAAGACCGGTATTGATAGATTTATGTGTAGTTATTGTTGTCTTTGTTTTAGTATCGTATTGAGTACACTAACTTTATACTTTAAAGGTACATATTGATGGTCTGAATTCCCCTTTGGTCTTCAGAACTACCTTAAAGGAAAAAGTTCACCCCAAAATGAATATTTACTCATGGGAAAGAGGTATTTGGTCGGTTGTCCATCTATTAGACAAAGAGGGTGAGGTTCTCAGTCATAGAAATTTTTGTGAGAAATAAGCAATGTAAGCAATACACTAGGCAGGGGTGGCCAATCCTGTTCCTGGAGATCTACCTTCCTGCAGATTTCAGTTGCAACCCTTATCAAACACACCTGTCTGTAATTATCAAGTGGATTTCAGGTCCTAATTAATTGGTTCAGGTGGGTTTGATCAGGGTAGGAGCTAAACTGTACAGGAACGTAGATCTCCAGGAAAAGGATTAAGCACCCTTGCACTAGGGCATTGAAATATTTCCCGAAGGCATTTAATGATGGTTAGTAATGTGGTTACCAATATAAATGACACATTTCATCTGCCTTATTTAAAAAAAATGGACAAGATTTTATTCAGGGTGAAATACCTAATAAAAAAAATAAGATCAATATTAACCCAAGATAAATTTCCAATACAAGCTAGAAGAAATAATGCATCTTTTCTTTTTCCAAGAGCTATTATCGAATTAAGAACAAAAGCTTAAGAAGTACATTTTAAAATATTCAATGATATTTACCCATCTTCAGAGTTTCTTAGACATAGATTTAATTTTGATCTCAACAATTGTACATTTTGTGAGGTTGACATTGAAACTACTGCACATTTATTTTTTTAATGTTTATAACAGAACATTTTGGTCTGATTCATTCGAGTGGTTAAAGGTTTCTCTCAAGTTGTCCTCCCAATTTTCTAAAAATGAAATTTTATTTGGTTTATTAGGGAAAGATGTTAATATTCAATTTGTATTGAACAATATTTTAATTTTGGAGAAAATTTATATTCATAATTGCAAGTGTCTTAAAACAAAACCACTGTTTTTGGTTTTCCAAAATACATTTTGGTTATACTGTAAAAATTTAAAGTTTAAAATGTGAAAAAATAGGCCTACTGTTTAGTTTGTAGACCCTGTGTAAATTTCTTTTTCTTTCTTTCTTTCTTTCTTTCTTTCTTTCTTTCTTTCTTTCTTTCTTTCTTTCTTTCTTTCTTTCTTTCTTTCTTTCTTTCTTTCTTTCTTTCTTTCTTTCTTTCTTTTAGTTGTGTTTGTGTGTCTATGGTTTAAGTTTGTTTATTTGTATTATCTTATTGATTTGATTATTTGTGCTCTGTTAAAATGTAGATCTAGATAAATGTAGATGAAAGTTGTTAATTGAATTTTGCCTTATTGTAATTGTGTTATAATGCAATAAAAAAACTCCAGGATCAAAACAAACGCAAGCGCAGGTTGCCAGATTGAGGACAGTAGCGAGTGATTTAAACCGTGTTTGAATTGATATAATAGAAACAGTTTCTATTTCTCACAGGTGACCAACAGAAAACTAAGACAATGATCACCTCAGGTAAACCTCAAGTGCTTTATTCAGTGTTAAATGCTAACAATGTGAGTTTGAATGCCAATTTACATGACATTTATTGCCATATACTAAAAGCATCAGCAGAAAGTTTAGCTCAGATCTTGAAAATAAACCCTTTGAAATTTAACTTTAGAACTAAACGCATATCAGTGATTCAGCATGTACATTTTATAATGTTAAAGAGGGTTAATATAAGTTAAATAGATTATAAACCATGCCATTTGGTGAGTGAGTGCATAGTCTATGCTTTTGAATGGCTGTGTTTAAATTTCTGTCATGTTTCATCTGGTGCAAAACAGCCAAATTGCTTATCACTGCAAATATCGTCACAAATAATGTTGTTAGGACACGCAGATACAATGTAACATGCTTACCTAATGTTTACGCTCGTAATATTTATATTATTTGCTAATTTAAAAACCACCTCATGTGGAACTCTGAAACGGTCTCATTTTGGAGGATGTTACTGTCCACAAGAGGTCGCATTACGGTCGCAGACGCTTGCTTTTAGAGCCTTTCTGAATGAATGAAATAAGCAGTTTTCCAGCTAGTATCGTGGGGTTCTAAAATATAATTGGCTAAATTGGCATTGGGCAGGTTAAAATTACCAAAACAAATACAGTGCTCTGGCACGGAAAAAAAAACATTTTCAAAGCAGGATATTTGACGTTAGCATTGTTTTTTTAGGTAAACAATTATGTTCACTTGGCACGTTTCTTAAATATCTGCAAACATATTTGTATGCTTTAAGAGTCAAAAACTTACTTACAGCACTTTTTATTAAAATTGAATCTTTTGTTTCAGCTCTGGAATTGCAGTCCTTCCAACGATGTGAGTTTGACGACTTAAAGGGATAGTTCAGCCAAAAATGAAAATTTACTCTCTACTTACTCTCTGTCAAATGGTTCCAAACATTTATGAGTTTCTTTCTTCTGTTGAACATTAAAGAAGATTGCAATACAGTTCAAACTGTTGTACAACAACCAAACAACAAACATTCAAATATTTCAATAACAAGAAAAACATTCTGTTCCCAAGTCTGTCAGCCATGCCATCCATATGACAGAGATATTTGATAGCTGAAAACCTGTAACCATTAACGTTAGCCCCTTTCACACAGTGATACTGGTAAATATCCAGAAAATTTCTGGAACGACTTTACCGGTATATTCAAAAAAAGCGCTGTTCACACAGGCAAGAACATTACGGAATTTTTCCGGAAAAGAGCATTCACACATCCATTCCAAAATACCGGTAAATTCTGACATCATTAACCAGAAATGACCTCTAAACGGCTGCGCTTGTGTTTGTAAACATTTGACTACATCACAAACTCTGTGGATGGATCAGAATTGTGAACAACTTCGATGAAAACATATTGAGAAACACTTTCGCATGTCGAGATGTTCATGATATGTGTGTGTGCCCATGGGCTGTTTCATGTGCACACGCAAAGCTTTAAGGTAAACAAACAACGGCTTATCATAAGCATCTTATCGATAATTAATTACACGGTTGGAATTAAGATGAACATATAAACGTTATCTGACAAATTTCTAGCAGCTAAATGTGTTTGAAAAAATATTCTAAGGCTTTTATTGTCATAAAGCGCACGGACGTGAATGCATCTGACTGTTCTGATTGGCTAAAGAAGGCATCTCACGTCAGCACGTTCTAGATGAGCACGCGCTCTTTCCGGCAATCTTCCTTCTGCGTTCACACAGCGCAGCATTCCGGCAAATTACGGGTAATGTTACAACTTCTCTTTCCGGAAAATACCCAGAACGAATTTACCGGTATTTTCAAAAAGGGCCCGTTCACACATACAACCTTTCCGGAAAATTGCCGGTAATTTTCCAGAAAGGTCTGTATGTGTGAAAGGGGCTAATTGACTTCCTAAGCAGGAAAACGTAGCAGGAAAAAGTAAATGGTTATAGCTTTCCAACATTCTTTAAAATACCTTCTTTTGATTATAACAGAAGAAAGTCAAACTGGTTTGGGACAGGTAGGGTGAGAAAATGATGGCAGAATGAACATTTTTGGGTGAACTATCCTTTTAAGCAAAATAAGCTTAGCCACATCCCTCCAACCATTAGTTTGCTGCAAGTGAATGATGAGAGAAGGAGCTCAAAAATAAATGCCCTGCCCCCTACTCAATATATTTAAAAATACACTATTGTACTGGAACAAAAGTCTGTAGAAACTTTAAATGATTAGTTAGTGTTACTTAACAGAGTGTGAGAGTGCAGAGTCAGAAAACAAATAAGTCAAAGTCATTAGGTCATAAGGCTGAGTGTGAAGTTATTTATTCAAGTAATTTTCATTTCATATATAAAATGTGTTGCAGTAATATGAGCATCTGTATATAAATATCTACTTAGAATACACAACTAAAGCAACGCTCTAGCACACTAAAGCATGTTTTAAGGAAAAATCCCTATAGTGTGAATCAACATCTGAAGGTTTCATTTTGTTAACATAATTTTTTTTAGTCACAGAGAATGATGCCGAATGATTTGGAATGTGTGGTATCCCTGCAAACTGGCAATAATAACTACATTTTGCTTAGAACTTCCATAGCAAAAACAAAAACATGAATAATGCAATTTACAGACTGTATTTAGGCTTCAGGATTTCATATTGTGTGGTATAGTCAACATTAGAATGCCCTGCTGATCATTGGCTCTCTCAAACAGTCCAGTCATCTGTTCACTTTGTCTCGGTTTTTGCTATTTTTTCATCTTAAATCACCTCTTGTCTGTTGATCTTTCTATTGGATCCTTCACTACATACTTAATATCTGAAATAAAGGAAACACGTTATTACATTTAATTACAGTACACGCAGTCATAGTAGTCAATCAAAATATTTCAAACATACTTACTGCGATATATGGCATCCAGAAACATACGCGTAGTTTCCGGTGTAACGTACATCACATCGCACAACATTGTTACTGTAGTCCGACTCCGGCACCTGGTAACTGGGATTAACACTAACCTAAAACAGACAAGAGGTTTTAACTCAGGAACATATATTGGATATTTCTTAACTTATTTGATTACAGTCACACACTTTGAGGATGTAGTTTCCTGGTTTCACATCAGTAATATCTATCCATTGGCAGTCAATGTCAGCATTGTACGTGTCATAACAACCTGGACTCAAACCCTGGAACAACAAAAACAGAACACTTTCAGCAAAGGTACATGGTAAAGGTGTGTTATTTTATGTACATATATGCACATGTCCTTTGGGGTAAGATTACGCAATCAAACATGCTTCATTAAGGCCACTAATTCCATGCAGTATACTGTAGGCTGTGTACCATAACAAGCAACCCATACATTCTTCACACTGATCCCACAATGCATTGTGAAGCCATCCAAGTGGGTGGACATTGTGAAGAAAGATAAATATATCTGCATATTACACCCAATATTGAGAAGTATCATTAAAATGTAGGGCTCTATTTTATTGATCTAGGCGCAAAGTCTAAAGAGCAGGGCACAAAAGCATTAAGTGCATGGCTGAATTCACTTTTGCTATTAAGGACGAAAACATACGCTTTGCGCTGCGGCACATTGTCTAACAAGGCTTTGCTTTTTCTCTTAATGAGTTATAGGTGTTTCGAGAATAAACCTATCAGAGTCTCATCTGCCATTCCGTTTAGGAGTCAGTTGCATCAAGCCATGTCGCATTTGCCATTTACATGGCGGACTTTGTAAGTGGAAATACTAAGAGCTTCACTAGTGAGAAAACAGTGAAACTTCTGCAGTTGAAGGATAAAGTATGAGCCACCTCTAATCAACCTTTGCTTTCTCTTTCTCTCTTTTGTGGATATGGAAATGGTAATGTACGCACAGACATCAGCCTAAATAATTAATTTCATTTGTTAAGTGCAAAGATTTGTTTCAAAACTGTTTCTAAATTCAATTATAATTTCCTGCAAACGAATAAATGAACAACAATAACGAAGTGTGTTATATTCAAAAACGCATGCTATGCCCATATGGTCCAAAACCTGACAGGTGGACAAATCTAAGGTTGTTTTTAATAAACAAATATAAATATGCATTAAATAAATAATACTAATGATAATAATAACATTATACAAAAGCAAATTGTCATTAATGAACTGAAAAAAAACCTCGAGATGAAGATGTGGTTTTTATATTTACGTCGAAAGTAATACTTTTTATTAATTTTTAATCCTTTAATTCTTTTTCATTTGTAAAAAAAAAAAGTGTATTGCTGTACATTCTATGTGTATTAAGCAATGTGAAAGTGGGGCGCAAAACTAACCAGCTCTACACTGGACTTTAGACCTGCTTTCAGGTCTATTTAAGTTCCTCAAAATAGCAATGCACCAACAATGCACAGTAACACACCTCTTTTCTACACCGGAACACCCATGAGTCCACAAAGTGGTGCAAATGGATTTGATATTTAAACAATGTTGTGGTAAATGGGGAAATTAAGGTTACGCTGGTCTGAAAATAGCAACACGTCCAGGCAAACACATCTTGCGCCTTATTGCGCCAGGTATAGGACCCATAGAGAGAGAGAGAGTTTTCTTCTACTGTTTAAAATGTACTTGTCTTAATACTAGTTTTGGAGTTTAAGTGAAGTTTATTCATAAACAAATTTCAAGAGGATCACGTGCTTATGATTGTTCACAGCTGTTCCAACTTTAGCTAATGACTGATTATCCTATCAGACGATCCTTAACTCACTATAAATAACCAGACTTTTCTTATCTCAATGTCTTCGTCTTGAAGAAACCCCCCCACCCAACCCTACTTTCCCTCCTTTCAAACGGGCGCCACGGTGGCCAGCGATTAGCGCTGTTGCCTCACAGCAGGAATGCCCCTGGTTTAATTCCTTTCCAAACCAGACGGCATTTCTGTGCAGAGTTTGCTCGTTCTCCCCGTGGTCGCGTGGGTTTTCCCCGGGTCCTCCGGTTTCCTCCCACAGTTCAAAAACAAGCACTCTAAACAATTAATCAAAAAACATTAGCTAAACTCTGAGTACACCTTTTCAGCATACATATCCGACACTTAGCTACAACAAGCAAGAAGGGGAGTCATCGAGATCTACCTGAGCTCAAACTCCCCTCTTGCCTTGCAACGGGAGGTAGCCCAGGGCTCGAGGATCTTATGAGCTCAGGGCTCTCTCCCGGGACAGCACGCCAAACTAGCTTTACTATCAATCATCAGCTAAGTGTGAACTCTTGAAAAACAATAACATTAGAAGTCTATTAGCACATGCAATTGCAAAACATGGTGAAGGTATGCGATTTGACCATAATTATATTATAGTAAAAGTGTTTTTAGTTTTTTTTTTATTTGTTATACAAATTCACATATGTATAACCAGCCTGACCTCATAAGGAAGTGTAATTATTTTACGCTTTGTCATTTTAGTGCAATAGTATCTGGATGCAGCTTTTATGATGCAAGCTGAGATTGCATCACTCAGCGCACTCAATGGAGTGAGTGATGTCACTGTGATGGGTAGTGTTAGGGGTGGGGTTAGGTGATTGCAACAAAAAGCATTGGATGCAGCTCAGATTGCACTGCACCAGGTCTGCATCCAGACCCCTCTCGTTTTGTGGCTAATTCATACAAAGTGAAGTTTATTCATAAACTAATTTCGAGAGGAGCACGTGATTATGATTGAACACGGCTGGTTCTGCATTAGCATGCATGATCCACCAATCAGGCCATTCCTAACCCACTATAAAGAGCCAGGGTTTTTTCACTACAGTCATCTTCGATTCGATTTGAAGAATCCCCCCTTCCACCCCTACCTTTTCACCTTTCCCTCCATAGGGCAGCACCGTGGCCCAGTGACTAGCACTGTCGCCTCACAGCAAGAACGTCACCGGTTCTAGTCCTTCAACAGGCCGGTGGTCGTTTTTGTGTGTAGTTTGCATGTTCTACCCGTGCTTGCGTGGGTTTTCCCCGGGTCCTCCGGTTTCCTCCCACATTCCAAAAACATGCACAACAAGTAAATTGATAAATCTAAATTTGCAATTCAGGTAATCTTATATTATCTTATCTTATATTATTATATATAATCTTATATCAGCATATCTTGTAATAGCATTCAATTTTTAGTTATCAGCTCTTATCAAGGGGGAGTTGTCGAAATCTACCTGAGCTCGAGGCTCCCCTCTCTTCCTCCAAATGGGAGGGAGCCCAGGGCTCAAGAACCTTCGAGCTCAGGGCTCTCTCCCGGGACAGCATGCCAAACTTGCTTATAATCAATCATGAGCTAAGTGTGAACTCTTGAAATCAGTTTTTGAAAGGAGGCGTAGCCCCAAATTTCACCCCTAAACCCAACCGTCATTGGGGTATAAGCAAATTCTAATAAATTATAGAAATGGCATTGTAAAAATTCATATTAATTAGCAACTAAATCAAAAAGTTACTGCTGTGAGATAGCATTGGGATAACTACGGTTTTACAAAAAAAAAAAAAAAACTGTGGTTAGTATAGAAAACGCTTACTAATTTGTAGTTACTATAGTTAAACTACATTAAAAGATTTTACCTTTTGTTGGGTTGGAGGGTGTTGCATAATTTTCAAATAGGATGAATCATACACGGGGCAACATGGGGTAGCACTGTCACCTCACAGCAAAAAAGGTGGCTGGTTTGTGCCTCGGCTGGGTCGGTTGGCGTTTCTGTGTATAGTTTGGGTGTTCTCCCCGTATTCGCATGGGTTTCGTTTGAGTGCTCCAGGTTCCCCCACAGTCCAAAGACATGCGCTATTGGTGAATTGAATAAGCTAAACTGGCTGTAGTGTATGTGTGAATGTGAGAGTGTATGGGTGTTTCCCAGTGATGGGTTGTCGCTGCGTAAAACATGCTGGATAAGTTGTCAGTTCATTCCACTGTGGTGTCCCCTGATTATAAAAAGCATTAGGCCGAAGGAAAATGAATAAATGAATGAATGAATCACCAATATGTAGTTTTCAAAGTACAATGGTATCATCATAGTATACCATCAGTGAACCATCATAGGATGAAGCTGTTTTTTTAAGTCACTTATTTCTTGCATTATCTATATATTCATAATATTGACCAGGGGTCTCATTTATAAACATGGGGTATGCACAAAATGGGTGGAAATGTGTGTACGCCACTTCCCATTCAAAAGTGGTGATCTATAAAAAACACACTTGACAGGAGAATGTGCGCAGCTGTAAGTAAACTCTTAGCAAACACATCTGATGTAAATATTGACTTTATATCATCATATGACAAAACAATTATACATAAATGAATGACTATTGATTCTGACATATGTTTACTTTTTGAAATGTTTTTACGCACAGTTGTATAAATGAAACCCCAGTGCAACATGTTGAACTATTTAAAATTTAAAAAAAAAAATGTTTTTTTGGAGAAGTGCCAAGTGCTTTTTCTTTCACAGAAAAGCACTGATTAACACTATTTTTAAAATGTCCATTCATAGAAATATATATATGGATAATTACTTTATTAAATGAGTGTGACCTGAGTGTGGGAGGTGCAGGCGTATCGTCGGTAGTAACCATAGTCACAGGACGTGTCCTCCAGGCAGAAACTGGCCTTGTGTCCCTCTGCTACTCTTCTGTGAGTGGTTGCGTCCAGCAGGTCATAATGACTGAACTCGTCCATGCTGTGGTAGTGCCTGGAGAGAGCGAAACAAATTGCTTCCAGCTTCATATTTGGACTAATTAATCAATTTAATAATGCATGCCATGTGTTTTTAACATTTAATCCCAATTTCAAATTCCATTTTCTCAACCGAGTTTCAAAACTGTTTCATATATATGCTCGTCAGGCAGAAAAATGTTGTGCAGAGTTTTTCCAAATGAGCTTCATTGCCAGTTTGCAGGAATTGCAGGAATTTACACCATGCAAATCTCACCTCGGATAGTTTCAATGCAGCCAGTAAAGTTGTTAAAGGAACAAAACAATGATTTCATGATTTACTCATCCTCATGCCATTTTAAACCTAAACGACTTTCTTTTTTCTGTAGACCATAAAAGGAGAGGACAGATTTTTATTCACTTTTCCCTGCAATTGCAGTGAATCAAGAGATTTGAGCTTCAGAACTGTGGCTAAAGCAGCATGAAACCACCAGCTTTTCTTGGCTATATGATAGCTTTGTGTGAGGAAAAGACTAAAATCAAAATTTCCCCTCCAGTAAGCAGTTCTTTTAAAGTGCCCCATTATGCCTTTAAGGGTTCCAATTTTAATATCTTTAAGGTTTCCTACAATAGGTTTACAAGCATCCAAGGTTGAAAATACTTTTCTCATAAAATAGACTTCATTATACCACATTTCTCAAAGGATTTGTGCGAGGATTCGATCATTCTAAATCCCTCCCTATTGCTCTGATTGGTCAGACAGCTCAGTCTCTTGTGATTGGTCGACTGCTTATAGCATCATATTTGAATTTCGACATTAGAGATTTTCTTAACCCCTTTGGATTTCTCTTCTCTAAATGATACTGTTAAAATTGATTGGTTAAAATTTTGTTTGAATAAACCTTCTCTGGCGACGCAGTGGTGCAGTAATAGTGCTGTCGCCTCACAGCATGAAGGTCGCTGGGTCGCTGGTTCAAGCCTCAGCTGACTCAGTTGGCGTTTCTGTGTGGAGTTTGCATGTTCTCCCTGCATTCGCGTGAGTTTACTCCGGTTTCCCCCACAGTCAAAAGGCATGTTGTACAAGTACATTGGGTAGGCTAAATTGTCTGTAGTGTAAGTGTGTGTTTGGATGTTTCCAAGAGATGGGCTGTGGCTGGAAGGGCATCCACTGCGTAAAAACTTGCTGTTATATAAGAACTAAGAATTTCTAAATAACAGAAAGTATTAGTCATTACCTTAAAAATCTTTTGTTACAAATAAGATAAAAGAAATAGGGCGACACGTTGGCACAGTGGGTAGCACGTTTGCCTCACAGCAAGTAGGTCACTGGTTCGAGCCTCAGCTGGGTCAGCTGGCATTACTGTGTGGAGTTTGTTTGTTCTCCCCATGTTGGCGTGGGTTTCCTTTGGGCGCTCCGGTTTCCCCCACAAGTCCAAAGACGTGGGATAGGTGAATTAGGTAAGCTAAAATGGATCGTAGTGTGTGAATGAGTGTGGATGTTTCCTAGTGATAGGTATCTGGAAGGGCACCCGCTGCGTAAAAACATATGCTGGATAAGTTGGCGGTTCATTTCGCTGTGGCGACCCCAGAATAATAAAGGGACTAAGCTGAAAAGAAAATTAATGAATGAAGATAAAAAATATCTTTTTAACTAATTCATAAATTATGTCTGGTTAAATATTTTCTCAGTAAATTGAAAAATTATATTGATATAAACTGTTTTTTTTTTTTTTCATTCTTTGCATTTGGAAACTGTACCCCACATCGTTTGGTACTGTGGTTATGTTAAAAAGCTTTGGTATGATGCTTTTGTCTTTATAAAAAAAAAGATACTCGTTAATTTTAATTTGCATTTTGAAAACGTGATTTTTTAAATATTTTAATTATGATATGTATTTTTTGTTATAAACCTATTTATTTTGTTAATTAAGTTTCATATTTATAAGTGTGAATTTTACAACAAAAACCCTGTTTTACTTTGTTTTATAATGAACTGAAAATTACTTTTGTACTATATTCAGCATAGTGCTAATAGAAAGGCCATTAAAACTGTCCATTTGTGCTCTAGTTTAAAAAATTTCAATTGTATGTAAAGGTCCAGCTTGCTTGTAATTGTAAGAATTTTATTTAATTATTTATACTCTTGTTTTTTGTGCTTGTTTTATTTACTTATTGTGCTGTTATTATTATTTACCTTCTATCACCCTGGCATTATTTTGTTTGTTGTATTGTCATGTTGTTGTTTAAAGCATAATAATAAAATGAATAAATAAATAAAATAAGAAATTTCTTAACCCTCAGTTTTCTGAACACAACAATGATGCTATTTATTTTACCATATCAGTTTGAGACTTGAAGAAGTGATTATAACAAAGGTTTTTTGAAAAGTCATGCAAGAATAAGTGTTTTGTTTTTAACAATGAATGCTGCTTCTCAATAAGATGTTTATAAACCAATTAAAATATGACAAGACCATGCAAATGTTTAACAAATCTAGCAGAAGTGAAACTGGAATTGCTGATAACTTGTTTCTGCAGTTCAGAATCATATATATATATATATATATATATATATATATATATATATATATATATAGTTTTTTTTCTGAAGGGAAACTAAATGTATCATATTATACACTTTGATCATTTCATTTACAAATAGCAGGGTGCAAATTACAGGCAGGTTTGGCCAGTAAACCAGTAAAAACCACTTGATCCCCCCTGGAGAACATCAAAGCAAGATGTGGGGGGATTGTGACCAAATAGTGGGAAATAATTAGCTCTGATCTGTATTGTAAAAGTCAATCTTGCATTTAATGGTGCAGGAATACAAAATTGCCACCATTTGTTTCATATTAAAGAAAGGTGGTAAAATAGCCATATGTATGTCTCTAGGTCAGAATACATTCATTATTCCTCAAAACACATGCACTCCCCTCTTTGTATGCTTTGACACTTTCATATCAATGCTTCGTTTCTGGAAAAATATCATACAAGTATTAGTGTAAGTGGGCTTGACAAAGGACGCTTTCTTATCAGCACCATATTTCATGGAAAGCAATTCTGAGTGTGCACTAAAACATTCTTAAGCATCACACAGACTAAAGCTGCGTCTCAAACGGCACACTATACACAATGCACTCATGCACTATGTACTTATGCACTTACACACTCAACAGCATAATATGTATGTAGTGTCGACTCAAATGGAGCACTAATGTTTTTTTAATATGCGGAAATTCAAACCATTTCCCTGATGACGCTTGACTGTTGGCAAATAAGTGCAATAAATAACCAAACTATCAAATAACACCTGCCATGAGTTTTACTGCATTCACCATCGCGAGGCGCTATAATCACTCTCATAGGAGAATTTTGTTTTCACCATCCAAAATAAATAAAGTAATCCAACATGTGCGGCCGATAGCTCCACCCCTTCCGCTACATGAGCAAAACTGTGGTCATTGAGTGCGTGAAGTGTCCATCATTACAAACTTAATTTTACCGGCTGAATGAGTGCATCATCCAGGTAATTAAAGTGCACTTATTATTTTTAGAGTTTTAAGTGTGAACGCACTACTTACACTATTTATACTACAAAATGGCGTAGAATAGTGCATAAGTATGTGATTTGGGACGCAGCTTAACATTACTTAATTCACACACTGTAGACCACATAAAAGGAATTATCAGAAAAAATAGCAGAGATCCATTGAGTTTTCCCTTCTCAGTTACTGATCAGAGTCTTTGGGTTCTATTTTAATGATCTAGGTGTAAAGTCTAAAGAGCATGGAGCAAAAGCATTAAAGGCATGTCCGAATCTACTTTTGCTATTTTAAGAATGGAAAAATGCGCTTTGCGCTCCAGCACATAGCCTAACAGGGTTGTGTTAATAAACACAGTTCATAATCAGTTTCATCTACCATTCCCTTTAAGAGTAAGTGGTGTCGCACCACAGCGCATTTGCTATTTACATGACGGACTTTGTAAGTGTAAAAACTGATTGCTTCACTAGCAAGAGAACAGTTAAAAGGTCATCTGCAGCGCAAGAATAAAGAACAAGCCTCTTCCATTCGGCCTTCCTATTTTCTCTTTACTTTACTCTTTACTCCTTTTGTGAATAGGTAAACAGTGTTGTACACACTCCACTTAAGACATCCATCAGCCTACATGTTTCATTTAGTTTAAGTGCAAAGATTTTATTTATTCATTAATTTTCATTTTTTTTATTTGTTAATGTTTTGCGGATGAAAAGTTTGTTATAATGAAAGCGTTACTAAACATGCACCAGGTAAAATATTACTAATACTGTATTAGTAATGCCTTACACTACTGCGTTACAGGAAAAAGTAATACGCTACTGTAATGCATTACTTTTGTAACGCATTACTCCCAACACTGGCCTTAACACACCTCCTTTACTGGCACACCAAAGGGACGCACATGAATTTGATGTTAAAAGTTTAACAACGTGGCACAAAATGTGAAAATTTTATTTGCGCTGGTCTGAAAATAGCAACAAATCATGCCAAACATGTCTTACTCTTTTTTCGCTTCAGGTGCATAATAGCATCGCAATCTCATGGCAATTCGTAACTTTTTAATTTAGTGGCTAATTCGTATCAATTCATACAATCTAATTTGTACAATTTCATACGATTTGCTCATCACCCAATAATGGTTGGGGTTAGGGGTGGGGTTGGGTGCCACACCTTCTTTTTAAAATCATACATTTTCATACGACTGAACTCATACGCATTAGCCACTAAACTGACAAAACGTAAAATCTACTCATGAGATCAGACTGATAATAGGGCCCTTTCAATTGAACTAAAAGAATCTGACTTGTGAACAAAGTTCAGATTTATCAACAAATGTTTTAGACTGTTTCTGTGACCTAGATATTTCAGACAAATAAATTAATCAATGATTTATATACACTCTCGATTTCTACACAAATCAGACATTGCAAACTGTTAACAGACTTTGTATGGGTTTTACATCATTTTTGAAGCTCAAGGCTCCATTCTTTGTAATT